TAAGTTATTAGACTATGCTTTTAACATTACTCCTAATATTTATAATACTTAGGCAGTACAACAGCTATAATTAGAATTAAAACCAGGTTTTATCTTGACATAAAACCAATAACAACAACATATAACATACCTGGTTTTATCTTGACATAAAACCAACAATAACAACATATTTATCAATTAACATATAGAACTTCCGAGTATAACTCTGGAACTATATCGCACACATAATATATATAGAATCCTAAGTATAACTCAAGATCTACATTAGTATACTACTATAACAATAACATACTAACAACTTTACGATAGTTGTATAATTTCATATACGAATAACTATATCCCGGTTATTATAACTATCTACGTTGATACTAATATACTATCATATAGACATAATAATAACGTATATATAATATTTAGCATGCGTTTTCCCCCGAAAACATTAAAAGTGGGGCCGTGAAACTCACCTTAATAGCGTGATCTATAGAATCTAAACGGTCAGAGGCTCGTCGTAGTGAGGCTCGGGAAGGGAAATGGCCTTCGGAAACGAGAGAGAATGAAAGTAGAAGGTGTAAGGATTGAATGAGCTTTGATCGCTATTTATAGGGTGTTTTGGGCCATTCCACATCGTGGCATACCTAGGGCCACGTCGTGGCCATCCATGAGTCACCCCGTAGCTTTAACACGTGTTTTCTAGCCCCGATTAGTGTCCCAGACACATTTCACGTCGTGGCCTTAATTGCCACGTCGTGGCTTAAGGCGGCTAGGGTTTCTTGCCACGTGTCATGCTCTAAGACAGCTGCATCTTCGGAAGGTCATAACTTTTGCATACGAACTCCGTTTTTGACGTTCTTTATATGTACGCGTAGCTAATTCCGAGTACTACAACTTTCTTTTAGACTCCAATAGCTAATTCTAAGTCTATTTTAAATTCCTCTTTATATAGTGTTCGGTTTATCATAACTTCTTCACCCGAAGTCAGATTTAGATGTTCTCTATATTTTTGGAATCGTATGGACGTATACTTTGATTTATACTATAAAGTATGTATGAAAGTTCATATTTATATTAGAATTATCATGAAATACATAGTGAGTTTACTACATTACCTGTTTTGACAAAATCACATTACATGATTGGTATAATCACATGTGATTGTTATTGACCTATTTTGACTAGTGTTACACTAATTTCCCTAGAAACTTTTCTAACTTACATATTCTGATATTGTTAACAAAAAAATGAGTTCAAAAATTCTAGATGTGAATTTTATCGTTGTGGATATTGGTGGTACATGAAAATCGAAAAATGGGGAATTCATATACATTAGACTATTTGTTAAAAACTTCGGTCTTGAAATTACCTTAGATATGAATTTCCCATATTTATATAACTTGGTCAAATAAATGTTAAATTTGGAAGACAATCCTAGAATCAATGTTTTGTTTTTCTAACATCCTATATTAAAGTATGTTATACATATAACTTTTGAGGGTTATGTGAAACATTTAAAGAAGATTATTCAGCAAGTTTTCTACTCATGGAAATCTGTATTTGGTAAATAATGATCTAGTAGAGGAGACACAAATTGTTTAATATGTCACAAATCGGCCTATTGTTGGTGGGAACCGATCTAGCAGGAAAAGAGGATCTCGTAGTAGAAGAGAGAAAAGTTATGCTAAGAATAGATTCAACGGAAGAGATAGCGACAATCCTGGAGGTATACATATCTCTCCAAATGAACCTTACCATGTATGTGGATTTTTCCAAATGGAACACCGATACAACAATAATTCAATCCATAACTAATTAATGAAAATTTATACATACCGAGACAAATTTAGTTTCCTAATCCTGGATATTATGTACCATATCAAACACTGTTTGTATAATATTGTGATTGTTATCGGTGAGACAACATGATTTACTAATAACCACAGTTATCGAAGCTCTATATAGCGGTGCAACATGTATTAAAGAATCGATAAAGCAGAGGTATAAATAGGTCTAAACATTCAATGCCAATGCTACTAATTCTTTTATGCAGGGGGACTCTATGATAAATCTAATACCTTATATTGAGATGATGCTTCCTAGGAGGATGAAAAAGTATCGAACTTGGCAAGCAAGATCCATCTCTAGCTTTAGCTTTGAAGGTACAAATTTTTTGTTTTCTGAAATTGTTTATCTTGATCACAGGATTTCGAGATGGGAAATAGAAAAAGAAAAAGTGGTATAGCTTGTGGGACACGATCTTGAGATCATGTAACATGCTAGAGATTCACAATATGGTTAATTAAAATTTAACTTTTACTGTGTATCGAACTTTAAACCGAATTGATATAGTTAATCATCTAACACTATAAGAAATAAAGGCATTAGCGGTGACACAAATAGCGGCGACACTTACCTTTAGCGTCGACAGATCAAATTGTCGCCGCTAAAGGTAAGTGTTGCCGCTATTGGTGTCGCTGCTAATGGCCCATGACACGGATCCGCGCTTTCACGTTCTCGTAAATTAAGACCGTTTGATTATGTTTTTAATCCAACGACTAGGGTACTCGACGAATGCACAAAAGCAATACCGACGACAAAAGTCGCCGCTAAACACCTAACAGAGTCGCTACTAATTGTCGAATAAATAGCGCGGCAATGATTCCCTCCTATGTGTCGCCGCTATTGATAGAAGTCGCCGCTAAAGCCAAAATTGTTGCAGGTAAAGGAGTTGCCGCTAAAGGTCGACGCAGTTAACCAAAAAAATCGACGCCCATTTCCTTTTCTCTTCTGTTTGCTTCCATCTCGTTGCTGCTACATTTTTTCTTTCATCTTCTTCGTCGATTCACAAGCAACCTCCTCCGGCAAAACCGAGATTAAGGATTCTGGCCACATAGAAGAAGATATTGGCGGTCAAAGTTGAGATTGACCGGTGAGGCTCCTCAGTTTTCAGCGACGGGCACTACATTCCGGCGATGCCCTTTTTGTTTATGTTTTATAATTTAACTTATAAATTTATATATGTTGTTATTTATTATGTAGTTGGAAAATCTTCGTGCAATGCTCAACGACCCAGCATGTAGGGAGAAGTTTTATTCGTTTTTTCAATCACAAAATAATCAAGGAGGAAACGATGGGAACAAAGATGATGATATGTAGGGAGGAACTTTATTTGTATGTTACACTTGTTGTCACGTTTTGCTACTTGTTAGAATTGTAAAACTTACTTTGCTACTTGTTAGAATTGTAAAACTTTTGGTTGTTTTATGTTGGTATGGAATTAAGTATAACAATATTTGGCATTTAATCGGATGTTGTTATGTAACTTGTTTCTTTTTTTAACGTTGTTATGTATCTGTTTTTTATACCCAAAATCGTTGATTAAAAAAATTTTAAAAATGAAAAATGCTATTACCAGCGACACTATTACCGGCGACGACAGAATTAGCGGCGACTCGAAGCATTATCGGCGACAGGAGCATTACCGGCGACAATTCTTTTTAGCGATGACAATCTAATCAAAAGTGACAGAGCAGTAGCGGCGACTTGTTGTCGCTATTGCCTTTACTGGCGATTAGCTAACTCTTTACCAACGACTATTGTCGCCGCTATTGCCCGGAATTCTTGTAGTGTGATATCTCATCTTCAATAAGAATTACCAAACGATGTATTGGTCATCATAACTCATTTGTAAGTGAATAATTTTTAAGAATCAACTTTAATGTCTACTTTATGTAAAGGCTACATGTTTATACACTTATTATAACGACATCCATATATCCGACATGTTTATACCCTTATTATAACGACATCCATATATCCATATGAAAGTTGATCTTTGGAGCTTATAAATTATGAATCCAGATATCAAAATATCGGAGTGTGATATGTTACTAGATAGTCTTCGTTACAAATAACACAATGAAAAAGATTCAGTTCAAACAAAGTTCTTATGCGAAAGTTATGAATATTGAAATTTTGGTCTTTTTCATATTTTTTTTACCGAGTAGCTTGCTTTAGAACTAAAAAAAAATACGACTTCTCGATTGTCAAATTTGGAGTGTAATATGTTTATGGATAACTTTTTTTTTTACAAAGAACACAACGAAAAAAAAATCACCTAAAAACGAACTTGGTATGAATTGAAAGAGTTATATGAATGTTCAAAGTTAAGAAAAATATCATATTTCTGCAGGTCACCAAGATTTCCGCACGCCACATCGATTTTTAAGTCCACATTAACGAAAACAACCTCGTTTTGGCCATCACACGAAATATTCACGCTATCAAGATTTTTGCAGGTGTTAGGCTTGTGAAAATTGGGGTTATTTTTGGAAAAGCCTTGGAAAATTAACTATTATAGTCATCTTCTATAATTTTAGTGCAAATTTTTAAATTAAGTATTTCAATATCTACTTTGAAAATGCTTTTTTTTTGTTCTAGCAATGAGTTTTTTATTATTATAAACGGTTAAGATTTCTTTTTAATATATTGTTTGTTTAAAAAAAAACTGAAAACACAATACCGCAAAAAAAAACAACGAAAAATTAGGATTTCATAATTAAACCAATCAAGATATTTGTTATTTATTGAGTTTAGTACTTCAGATGTTTACAAAGCTTTACAACGGAAAAAGTGAAACACCTGGGTGTTGTAAAAAATAGAAAAGTAAAGTGTGGATGAGGATGTTTTTGCGTTGATGACTTTTGTCATGTATAAGAATGGAGTTCTTGTGAAAGTGATTGGGCAAATGCAGTTGGCAACCCAGATAAAGACATAAATATTACATAGTAAGGGTGCATGCAGTTGGGGGGAAAGAAACAATGCTCTTTAACTCGATCTATGTGAAATGTCTACCTTCCAGCGTTATGTACAATGTTTTTTCTTCAACTGCATTCTGCTTTTAAGGCCACTTTTCATTCTGCAAGACCCTCAAGGTTTTCTCATATTTTCTTCCAAATACAAAGCTTTCTCTCTCTCTTTCTCTCTCACTCTCTCATCATTCCACCATGGTAAGTCATGACGACTCTCTCAGTATATGTATAATGCTCATATATCTTATGTGAACTTCTGCATGTACGCAGGGGGAGGAGACATCAAAGACAGGCTACAAATTACTTCGCGGGCTTAGCTTCAAGCCCAATGGTCTAAAGGGTGGCTTCAAAGCTTCTGGTTTCATCTTTGGTAAACCATACTTGTTTGTATATCATAATTACTACCGAAATATTATGATGCGAAAGTTTCTTATACTCGAGTAGGAAGTACCACCAGTAACATACTCCAGCACATTCTTTTTAAGATTGTGGTTGACATAATTGAAGGTTTCTATGATTAACCTCTAATACCCTCGAACTATAATATATCATCAAGCTTGATACATAATGGAATGGATAAAATTGAAGTCAGTTGGTAGTTGTTATCCAAGTGTTTAGGATTGTTTTCTTACACACGTGTATCACATATATAATAAGTCACGCTACCTCAAATACTACAATAAATAGAAGTAGTTCTGTTTCACGCTAACCTCCCAAACTATATGCTACAAAGACCTGGTAAATTTTTAAATAATATTATTTGTGACTTACCATGAATATTAATTATAATTATTTTACTAGTTTTTTATGTATGCAAATTTATGAACCACAAGTTTGAGACATGGTACTTGTTCTCACATTTACGAAGAGTAAACTAACAAAAGTGTTATAAATTTGTCTAAGTAGGTTAACAAATAAATAATATTCAGTTGCCAGTATAGAAGCCGCAAAAGCATCATTCGTTGTGCATGATCTTAGATGTGTTATTAGATTGTCAACAATGGGAAATATGACACAGTCAACTTTTCTAATGTCAATAACTTTTTAAAATATGTCAAATAGTTTTTTCAATTATCTATATATAAATCGATGTAATATATCAATCCACTTAATTTCAAATATTTCAACACCACATCAACAATTACTTTATATATTTGTTTTATAAATTAATGGTTCTTATTAGAGTATATAAATCAGATTCTAATAAATCGCTTTATATTTGACATGTTTTCATACTCATCATAATCTTCGATTATTCCAATCCAACGATTAATCAAAAATGCTGTCTCGTTCTCACACAATAATAGCTTTTATAAATAATATATAATAAGGTGGGTCCCAGTTTTCAAGTCTTTTTTTAAATAAACGAGAAAGACGAAGGTGATGTGGTTTTCATAAAAAATATCTACAAGAAGAAAAAGACACCGTTGTGGGATGTCTCATCTGATTATGGTCCTTATGGAAAAATATACAGAGAAGAATACCTCACACCAAAACGCAATATGTGTTCTATTTTCCATAAATATATCATTTCTCCTATAATACATTGAGCACTAAACGTTCGATCAAAGATTTATTTCAAATATAAAAATGTTTCTTTTTGTAATTGAAGATGTCAATAACGTATTGAACTTTCTATAATGAATGTCAATATGTCATCCCCTTTGATCCAAGAACTTAATTCATTTAATGTCAACTAGACATATTACGTCACATTTAACTCTTTCATACTTATAAATGTGCAGGTTTGGTGGCATTAGAGAACATGGGATTCGTATCAAACGTATTGATATTGTTCTCATACTTCATGAAGGATTTGAGTTTCAACATCCCTGGGGCCGCAAACACAGTTACTAATTTTATGGGCTCGACATTCCTTCTATCAATTATTGGTGCTTTTATTTCAGACACTTACATCTCCAGATTCCATACTTGTCTTATTTTTGGAGTGATCGAAGTAGTGGTATGCAAATTAACAGCCGTCACAAAAGGGATAAGATTTTTACTAAAACATGATTAGTTTTCAACAACTAAATTACACCATGTGTGATTGATGACAGGCTTTTGCGATAATGACAATTCAAGCTCATGCCACAAGTCTGCATCCAAAACCTTGTGGTGGAAAGGCAAGTTGCATGGAAGGAGGGGTAGGATTCATGTTTTACACCTCATTAGCATTGTTAGCATTAGGTTCGGGTGGTGTTAGAGGTGCCCTTGCCCCGTTTGGTGCAGACCAGTTTGACACGATGAAACCAAAAGGACTTACGGCACAAGGAAGTTATTTCAACTGGCTTCTCCTCAGCACCACCTTGGGCGCCACCGTGGGAGTAACTGGATTCGTGTATGTTAGCACTAATCATGGCTGGTGGTGGGGCTTCTTATTAGCTACCATTACTAGCTCCTTGGGGTACACTTTATTTCTTTTGGGGAAACCCTTCTACCGCATTCAAGCTCCTAAAGACAGCCCGCTTCTAAGGGTTACTAGGGTATGCGTACACACACACACACACACACTCTCTCTCTCTCTCTCTCTCTCTCTCACACTCTCCCCATTGGTGCATAAAGCATGAAAAATGTGCAAAAAATCTTACAGAATTCTTTCTGAATGCAAATTTTCATGACATTGTGCAGGTGTTTGTAGCATCTGTCAACAATAGAAACTTAGCGCTACCAGAAAATTCTGAAGAGTTACATGAAAGTAGCAAAAATGAGCCCTTAATGGGAAAAAAACTCTCTCGCACTGCCCAATTCACGTACGTATTACATTCCATATCTAGAAAGTAATATAAATTAAATTCAGGTGTTGGAGTTGTATATTTATAAAACGAGGTATAAAAATAAAATCGTAGCTGAGTGTGATATTGTACAGTTGGCTGGACAAGGCAGCAGTTGTTCCTAAAGATTCAAAACCAAGTGAACTTGCACCATGGGAGATATGCACTGTGACACAAGTTGAAGAAGTTAAGATCCTAATAAGAATGCTTCCTATCATACTAAGCACTGTTGTCATGAACACATGTTTAGCCCAACTACAAACATTTTCACAAGCTCAAGGAAACTTCATGAACAAAAAACTTGGAAAACTTGACTTCCCTGCAGGCTCAATTCCAGTAATTCCCCTTGTCTTCATGTCAATTCTCCTTCCTGTTTATGAGTTCTTCTTTGTACCATTTGCAAGAAAATTCACCAAACATCCACAAGGAATTACTCAACTCCAAAGAGTTGGGGTTGGCCTTGTTCTCTCTGCAATCTCAATGGGAGTGGCTGGCATGTGGAAGTAAAGAGGAGAAACCAATCAAGACTTCATCCACTTGAGCCTATTAGCCTCTTTTGGCTTTCTTTTCAGTATGGTATTTTTGGGATTGCAGATATGTTCACACTAGTGGGATTACTTGAGTTCTTCTACAAAGAGGCTCCTGTAGGGATGAGATCACTTGCCACTTCATTCACCTGGATATCTGTGTCGCTTGGGTACTTTCTGAGTAGTGTTTTGGTGGATATTGTCAATTCTGTTACGAAGAGAGTGTCGCCAAGCAAAAAAGGATGGATTAATGGGCTGCTATTGGATAACAACAATCTGAATTTATTTTATTGGTTGTTGGCTGTGTTGAGCTTGATAAATTTCGCAGTTTACTTGCTTTCAGCCATAAAGTATAAGTACAAAAAGGAGGATGATGAATTATTGAGACAGAAATGGCGTCAACAACTACAAGTGTTGCCATGGTCAGTGCAAGTGAAGATGAGTTACCAAAGAGTACAATTCAAGAAGACCCTCCAGTGGGTGAAACAACCGTTGAATCAAATGAGGATGTTAAAAATGTGAAAGCACCGAATGAGGGGGTTAATGATGGAAAAGAACATGAAGCTCTAAAAGCAGAATCTTGAAGATATTGTTGAGTTTTTGGATCACTTCTCTCTTTCTTTTTTTCCTTGTACTTCATTGATTCATTAGCTTTTAAACAATCCACTCTAACCCTCCAACCCAACCATCTTTTTGGTGTGCTTTATGTTGTTATATTTGGATAAGCTCAGATGAGCACACATAAATGTAAGCATCATGTTGTATGCTACAAAATTCTGTTATAAAAAAACATTTTCTCTTCAAATAGATTGCAACACTAATTGCGGATTATTAATGACTTGGCTCTAGTTTGTCTAAATGGATATAATTTAGTAATATAAAAAAGGGAAATCTAAGGAAAAGTCTCAATACTTTGTGAAAAATTTTAATAAAGTC